AACAAACAAAAGAGAAAAAGAAAGAAAGAACGAACAAAATAAAGGAAAGAAAGAACGAAAGAGAGAAAGAACGAATGAAAGAAAGAGAAAAAGAAAGAAAGAACGAACAAAATAAAGAAGGAAAGAACGAAAGAGAGAAAGAACGAACGAAAGAAAGAAAAAGAAACAAAAAACGAACAAAATAAAGAAGAGAGAAAGAACGAACGAGAGAAAAAGAACGAAAGAAAGAACGAACAAAATGAAGAAAGAACGAAAGAAAGAATGAACGAAAGAGAGAAAGAATGAACGAAAGAGAGAAAGAACGAACGAAAAAAAGAAAAAGAAAGAACGAACAAAATAAAGAAAGAACGTACAAAAGAAAGAACGAAAGAGAGAAAGAACGACCGAAAGAAAGAGAAAAAGAAAGAAAGAACGAACAAAATAAAGAAAGAAAGACAGAACGAACGAACGAAAGAGAAAAAGAAAGAACGAACAAAAGAAAGAAAGAAAGAAAGAAAGAACGAACAAAATAAAGAAAGAAAGAAAGAGAGAAAGAACGAACAAACGAAAGAGAAAAAGAACAAAATAAAGAAAGAGAAAGAACGAACGAAAGAAAAAGAAAGAACGAACAAAATAAAGGAAAGAAAGAACGAAAGAGAGAAAGAACGAACGAAAGAGAAAAAGAAAGAACGAACAAAATAAAGAACGAAAGAAAGAACGAAAGAGAGAAAGAATGAACGAAAGAGAAAAAGAAAGAACGAACAAAATAAAGAAAGAAAGAAAGAGAGAAAGAACGAACAAACGAAAGAGAGAGAAGAAAGAAAGAACGAACAAAATAAAGAAAGAAAGAAAGAGAAAGAACGAACGAACGAACGAAAGAAAATAAGAGAAAAAGAAAGAAAGAACAAAATAAAGAAAGAAAGAACGAAAGAGAGAAAGAACGACCGAAAGAAAGAAAAAAGAAAGAAAGAACGAACAAAATAAAGAAAGAACGAAAGAAAGAACGACCGAAAGAAAGAACGAACAAAATAAAGAAGGAAAGAAAGAACGAAAGAGAGAAAGAACGAACGAAAGAGAAAAAGAACGAACAAAATAAAGAAAGAACGAAAGAGAAAGAACGACCGAAAGAGAAAAAGAAAGAAAGAACGAACGAAAGAGAGAAAGAACGAACGAAAGAGAGAAAAAGAAAGAAAGAACAAAAAATAAAGAAAGAAAGAGAAAGAACGAACAAACAAAAGAGAAAAAGAAAGAAAGAACGAACAAAATAAAGGAAAGAAAGAACGAAAGAGAGAAAGAACGAATGAAAGAAAGAGAAGAAAGAAAGAACGAACAAAATAAAGAAAGAAAGAAAGAACGACCGAAAGAAAGAGAAAAAGAAAGAACGAACAAAATAAAGAAAGAACGAGAGAGCAAGAACGCACGAAAGAAAGAGAAAAAGAAAGAAAGAACGAACAAAATAAAGAAAGAACGAGAGAGAAAGAACGAACGAAAGAAAGAGAAAAAGAAAGAACAAAATAAAGAAACAACGAACGAAAGAAAGAGAAAAGGAAAAAAAGAACAAACAAAATAAAGAACGAAAGAAAGAACGAAAGAGAGAAAGAACGAACGAAAGAGAAAAAGAAAGAAAGAACAAACAAAATAAAGAAAGAAAGAAAGAGAGAAAGAACGAACAAACGAAAGAGAAAAAGAAAGAACAAAATAAAGAAAGAGAAAGAACGAACGAAAGAAAAAGAAAAAAGAACAAAGAAAATAAAGGAAAGAAAGAACGAAAGAGAGAAAGAACGAACGAAAGAAAGAGAAAGAACGAACAAAATAAAGAAAGAACGAAAGAAAGAGAAAAATAAAGAAAGAACAAAATAAAGCAAGAACGAAAGAAAGAGAAGAAAGAACGAACAAAATAAAGAAAGAACGAAAGAAAGAGAAAAAAAAGAACGACCGAAAGAAACAGAAAAAGAAAGAACGAACAAAATAAAGAAAGAAAGAGAGAAAGAACGAACGAAAGAAAGAGAAAAAGAAAAAACGAAAGAAAGAACGAAAGAAAGAGAAAAAGAAAGAAAGAAAGAACAAAATAAAGAAAGAAAGAAAGAACGAAAGAGAGAAAGAACGAACGAAAGAGAAAAAGAAAGAAAGAACGAACAAAATAAATAAAGAATGAAAGAGAGAAAGAACGAACGAAAGAGAGAGAAAAAGAAAGAACGAACAAAATAAAGAAAGAACGAAAGAGAGAAAGAACGAACGAAAGAGAAAAAGAAAGCGAACAAAATAAAGAAAGAACGAAAGAAGAAAAAGAAAGAACGAACAAAAGAAAGAAAAAGAAAAAGAAAGAATGAACGAAAAAAAGAAAGAACGAACAAACGAAAGAAAGAGAAAAAGAAAGAAAGAGAAAGAACGAATGAATGAGAGAAAGAGAGAAAGAAAGAACGAATGAATGAGAGAAAGAGAGAAAGAAAGAACGAATGAACAAAAGAACGAACGAAAGAGAGAACGAATGAATGAGAGAAAGAAAAAGAAAGAGAAAGAATGAACAAACGAATGAACAAAAGAAAGAACGAATGAATGAGAGAAAGAGAAAAAGAAAGAACAAACAAAATAAAGAAAGAAAGAACGAAAGAAAGAACGAACGAAAGAAAGAACGAACAAACAAAATAAAGAAAGAAAGAACGAAAGAGAGAAAGAACGAACGAAAGAAAGAAAGAACGAACAAAAAGAAAAAGAAAAAATGAACGAAATAAAGAAAGAAAGAAAGAGAAAGAACGAACGAAAGAAAGAGAAAAAGAAAGAACAAACAAAATAAAGAAAGAAAGAACGAAAGAGAGAAAGAACGAACGAAAGAAAGAAAAAAAGAAAGAAAGAACGAATAAAATAAAGAACGAAAGAGAGAAGAACGAACAAAAGAAAGAGAAAGAAAGAACGAACAAAATAAAGAAAGAAAGAGAAAAAGAAAGAAAGAACGAACAAAATAAAGAACGAAAGAGAGAAGAACGAACGAAAGAAAAAGAAAGAACGAACAAAAGAAAGAAAAAGAAAAAGAAAGAATGAACGAAAAAAAGAAAGAACGAACAAACGAAAGAAAGAGAAAAAGAAAGAGAAAGAACGAATGAATGAAAGAAAGAGAGAAAGAAAGAACGAATGAATGAGAGAAAGAGAGAAAGAAAGAACGAATGAACAAAAGAACGAACGAAAGAGAGAACGAATGAATGAGAGAAAGAAAAAGAAAGAGAAAGAATGAACAAACGAATGAACAAAAGAAAGAACGAATGAATGAGAGAAAGAGAAAAAGAAAGAACAAACAAAATAAAGAAAGAAAGAACGAAAGAGAGAACGAACGAAAGAAAGAACGAACAAAAAGAAAAAGAAAAAGAAAGAATGAACGAAAGAAAGAAAGAACGAATGAATGAGAGAAAGAGAGAAAGAAAGAAAGACGTTTGAATGGCAATTTCAGGTATAGGTCAGTCTAATTGAGATGAGTCCAGCTGGCTGTTTGGTGAAGTGAGGCGTCACCACAGATCTGACCGCATCTGTACCTTCACAGTCAGGTCCTCGTGGCCCAGGACGATCTGCACATGCACTGGGGGATACTCCATGGCATCTTCATAAAGCTCCATGGTGGCGCGCATGGCATTCTGCAGGAGTCACACAACATATTTATAGCTCAGCACGCTGCTGCTCACCTAAAAGAGCAAAGCCATTTAATGTGCGTCATGCGACACAACATCATGCATGATCCAATACTGAATATTTACATTTCACTCAGAACTTTTGGCAAATATGCTCTCCAGATGAGCGCATACTTCAATATTTCAGCAGTTGTGTTCTGCTGTGAGGGGCTACTGAAAAATCCTGATGTACTCAACTGTTTTAAATATTGATAATGATAATAATAATTTCTTGAGCAGCTAAACAGCATATTAGAATGATTTCTGAAGGATCATGTGACACTGAATACTGGAGTAAT